ACCACTAACTGCTCAGCCAATATCAACTTGACCCACCAGTCCTGGTTCCAGGGCCTGGAGCCACACTTCCAGCAGTTTCTGCTCTATCGCCATTGCCGATACTTCCCCATGCTGCTGAACCACCCGGAAAAGTGCAACGGTGACGTCTACCTGCTGGTGGTCGTCAAGTCGGTCATCACGCAACATGACCGCCGGGAGGCATCCGCCAGACCTGGGGCCTGGAGCAGGAGTCGGTGGGCGGGGGCCGAGGTGCCAGGCGCACCCTCTTCCTGCTGGGCACAGCCTCCAAGCAGGAGGAGCGTGCCCACTACCAGCAGCTGCTAGCCTATGAGGACCGCCTCTATGGCGACATCCTCCAGTGGGACTTTCTTGACAGCTTCTTCAACCTGACCCTCAAGGAGATCCACTTTCTCAAGTGGCTTGACATCTTCTGCCCCAATGTCCGCTTCATCTTTAAGGGCGACGATGACGTCTTCGTCAACCCCACCAACCTGCTGGAATTTCTGGCTGACCGGCGGCCAGAGGAAGACCTGTTTGTGGGTGACGTCCTGCTGCACGCTCGGCCCATCCGCAAGAAAGACAACAAGTACTACATCCCTGGGGCCCTGTACAGCAAGGCCAGCTACCCTCCCTACGCCGGTGGAGGCGGCTTCCTGATGGCCGGAGGCCTGGCCCGGCGCCTGCACCATGCCTGTGACACTGTGGACCTTTACCCCATCGATGACGTCTTCCTGGGCATGTGCCTGGAGGTGCTGGGTGTGCAGCCCGTGGCCCATGCGGGCTTCAAGACGTTCGGCATCTCGCGGAACCGCAACAGCCGCATGAACAAGGAGCCGTGCTTTTTCCGCTCCATGCTGGTTGTGCACAAGCTGCTGCCCTCGGAGCTGCTGGCCATGTGGGGGCTGGTGCACGGCAACCTCACCTGCTCCCGCAAGCTCCAGGTGCTCTGACCCCGGCCCGACCACCAGCATCAGCTGGGGCTGCAATGCCAGGGCGGATGGAGCCTTGGTCCCCTGCAGGGCAGTGGAGGGTCTGGATCTGGGCCTTGTGTGCTCCTGGGTGTGGGGGGCACAGGTAGCCGGGGGCCTCCCTGTGTGGACACTCTCCAGGAAGCGGAGCTGAGGCGCAGGAACGCTTGGAACGGCCCAGCCTGGAGAAGGTCCTCTGGGGAGCGAGGCTGCTGGCAGCCCTCCTAACTGGGTTCATTGCCTCACTCCCTCTGACCCGGTGGGAGGCCCTGGTGGCCTCTGAAGGAACCCCATGCTCAGGTACCTGGGCGAGGCCAGGCCCTGGATGGCTCCGTGGCTGCCCTCTTGATTCACAGAAGGTTCTTCTCCTGTGAAATGCCTCAATCTCCCTGCGGGCCCAAGCAACCTTTTCAGGAGAAGCTCAACCCTGTGCAGGCTCACAGTCCCCCCACACCCACTCCGAGCTCCTTGGTCTCCTGGAGACAGAGCCTCAGAACCCCCTAGGCACACCCTCCCTCCCCCCCAGACCTGCCTGGAGTTGGCTGCTCAGCCCCCTCTGCTCCCAGGTGGCTTCAGACCTGGCTGCGTCCTGTGATGCCCCGACCGGCCCCTGCCTGGAAGAACCTGCCCCTCTGACTACCTCAGCGATCCTCAGAACCTCCGGATGGCAGCAGCCCCCACCCCTGACGCAGGGCTCTGCCCCCCAAGTCACGGTGCTGCCCAACCAGCCCCAGCCACGTGCCCTCCTGCGGCCCCACTGAGGTCTGACGCCCTGGCCGGAAACCAGCCGGTTTGACCCTGGAAGTGGACATACCTCTATTACTGTGAAGTTCTATTTATGAAGAATTTGGAGGAAGAAGGCGCCAGGCCTCAGGAGATGGCGGTGTTCCTCCCTTCCCTCATTCCAGCAAGACGACTCCTCCCTGGGCCACCCTGACCCACCCCCAGGGCACCCCGGTGCCTGGCACAGCCCCCTCCAGAACCCTGCTGCTCCAGGGCCGGACAGACCAGCATCTGCTCCTGTGAAGGCAGGGAGTGTCCCTTGGGGGCCGCCCCGCCCAGGGTCAGGGGTCCTTGGGGTGGGTGCAGAAGGATGTCACCTCGTATCTCGGGGTAAAGTCACCTGGGAAAAGAGTGAGGAATTGACTGTTTTCTCAATAAAAGGGGATTGGGTTTTTTCTGCCGTGAAACTTCCTGTTCCCATTCCCATCAGAGGGCCTGTCGGGGCCAAGTTGCCAGAGATTTCTGAAGACACAGCTTGTTCCTTGTTCTTGGCTGGTGGGTACACAAGGACCCCTTGAAGGGCCTCAGAGGGAGGTGAGTGCCAGGAGGAAAGGAGAGGCCACAGGGCCAGAGTCAAGAAAGATGTTCCCTGGACTATTGGGGGGGAAGGAGGGGTGCAGAGTAGGCTGGCAGCGCATTCCCACGGAGGGCAAGGCCAGAGCTCCGGATCTGATAGTGAGGTTGTTACAGGGAGTGGGCTTGGGTGGGGGTGTGCAGGGGCTGGTGGGCTCCCTCATGGCCCTTCTTGATAAGGTTGACCAGAAGCACTGAAACAGTGGCTGGTTGGGGCCGAGAGAGGGGTCTGGTGTTGGGGGAACCGCATGGTGTGGCCTCAGCCAGTTACCTCCAGGTTGGGGAGAGCAGCCGCCCAGGGAGAAGGGTCCTGGGGCTGTAGTCGGCAAGCAGCATTTCCCTTCCTGCCTGTGCCCAGCTCGGTCATTGCAGAGTGGGCCTGGTGCCCCAAGAGTCACTCATGGCTCTCCCCCAGGTGAGTGAGAGAAATGGCTGGATCCTAACATAACACACGGAGGGAGGCACAATTCTAAATGGACGTCATCCTGGCCGGGGGGCCTGGGTCTAAGCCAGCCGTGGGCAAACTACGGCCCGCGGGCCGGATCCGGCCCGTTTGAAATGAATAAAACTAAAAAAAAAAAAAAAAAAAGACCGTACCCTTTTATGTAATGATGTTTACTTTGAATTTATATTAGTTCACACAAACACTCCATCCATGCTTTTGTTCCAGCCCTCCGGTCCAGTTTAAGAACCCATTGTGTGCCGAAACCGGTTTGGCTCAGTGGATAGAGCCGTCGGGCCTGCGGACTGAGAGGTCCCGGGTTCGATTCCAGTCAAGGGCATGTACCTGGGTTGCGGGCACATCCCCGGTGGGGGATGTGCAGGAGGCAGCTGATCGATGTTTCTAACTCTCTCTATCTCTCTCCCTTCCTCTCTGTGAAAAATCAATAAAATATATTTTTAAAAAAATGAAAAAAAAAAAAAAAAGAACCCATTGTGGCCCTCGAGTCAAAAAGTTTGCCCACCCCTGGATTGGAGAATAAAAGGGAACATTGTTGCAACTATTTCTTCCTCCTCAGCACAGATCCCCACCTTGGTCATCTGGCAACATAATTTGCAGCGCCCTGGTTTTAAAAAATTAAGAATTTCAAGATCACTACAGCTGAGACCTAGCCAGTTTGGCTCAGTGGACAGTGTTGGCCTGCGATCTGAAGGGTCCCAGGTTCGATTCCGGTCAAGGACACATGCCCCGGGAAGGAGGCAGCCAATCAATGATTCTCTCTCATCATTGATGTTTCTCCCTTCCTCTCTGAAATAAAAAAAAAAAAAAATCACTACAGCTAGCTGAGAGTTAAGTCAAGGTGGGGGGGAGGGGGAGCCTTCCAAGGCGGGCCCTGTGACTGCACACGCCCTGCTTGTCCATCACTCACCCACTGAAGCCAGGCCCTGCCAGGGCTGCAGAAAGCAGAGTGAGGCTTTGGGCCTCTTCCTGGAGCGGAGTCCAGTGAGGGCAAGAGCAGGAAGGACAGCCAGGGGCCATGTGGAAGGGCCACTGACTCAGAGAGCTCTGACCTTTCCCAGGTTTGTTGTGTTAGGTCTGACCGGGGGCAGCCTTGTGCTCAGCTGCAACCTGAGGAAGAATGCACCAGCAGCCCTAACCGGTTTGGCCCAGTGGACAGAGCGTCGGCCTGCGGACTGAAAGGTCCCAGGTTCGATTCCGGATAAGGGCATGTACCTTGGTTGTGGGCACATCCCCAGTAGGGAGTGTGCAGGAGGCAGCTGATCGATGTTTCTCTCTCATCGATGTTTCCAACTCTCTATCCCTCTCTCTTCCTCTCTGTAAAAAATCAATAAAATATATTTAAAAAAAAAAAAAGAATGCACTAGCACAGTTTCTCAACCTTGACTACACATTAGAATCACCTGGGAATCTTTTTAAAATCCTGATTTCTGGGCCTCATCCTCCGGAAATTCTGTTTCTTTGTTATGGGGTGAGGTCACAACATTAGTAACAAAGAAACAGAATTTCCGGAGGATGAGGCCCGGAAATCAGGATTTTAAAAAGATTCCCAGGTGATTCTAATGTGCAGCCAAGGTTGAGAACCACTGTTCTAGCAGAAGGGGGGCTGTGAAGGGGATGAAGTGGGTGTCTGACGGTGTTCCTCAGAGGCTGGGGCTGGATGTGTGCCCTTTCCTCTGGGCTGTCTCCAGCTAGTCCTGTTGATGGGCACTTCCTCAGCCTCTGCCCGTGGGGGGGCCGTGCTCCTGACCCCATTTCAGACCTCAGGGGCCCAGGCCTAGGCTGGCAGAGAGGAATGGGCACCAGCTTAGCACAACCAAATGGAAGGAAAGAAAAGAAGGCGGCCAGAGTAGCAAGACCCCCAAGCACAGGCTGGGGAGCAGGCTTCACCCCTAGCCCTGACAGTGCGCCTGCCTCTTGAAGGAGCAGTGGGCATTTGTCTTGTGGAAGAGAATGGAGGGCCAGGCCAGGCTAAGGACACACGTGACACCCCAGAAGTGCGAAATAGTGGGGCATCAGGAGGGACAGCCAACTGTGGACAGTGTTGGAGACGGAAAGGCTGGACTGGGGCGTTCCTGTGAGAAAGGCTCACTTTACTAAGAGTTAGGGTGCTTTCTGCAGGCATTGAGGAGCCATCACAGCTTCCAGAGCAGGGAAGAAACAAGAACAGATGGGGATCCTAGAAACATGTCCACACTCCAGTCCCCCATTGGGAGCATGGGGAGGCAGCCAGTCCCAAGTCCCAGGAACATCAGACTGAGAACATAGAACATGGCCCCGAGGCCTGCCCATCACTGTCGCCCAGCCCCTCTGTCTCCTTAACAGGAAGGGGCTCCATGAAAAAAGAGGCTAGTGACTCAGAGGAGACTTGCTGGGCACTGCCCACCCTAAGCCTAAGCCAGAATACCCCAGCCGACTGTGGCCTTCAACCAGCTCCTGGCCCTCCCAACCCAGCTTACTCTGGTTTCCTCCGGCCTAGGAGTGTGACCTGGCTGCCTCCAAAGACAGCCCTGGCCTTTCCCAGGTGTATTGTGTGAGGTCTGATCAAATAATTGAATCGATACTCCCTCCCCTAGGAACTGATCTTTAGGCCACTTCACCAACGACATTCCCTTTTGCTTAGACCACATTTCACTTGCTAAGACCATTATCCTATCCCTCCGGACCTTCCCAGGATCCAGACCCACCCAGAGAATTCTCCACCCAGAAAAAGTCCACCTAGAGTCCTTTAAGATCTCTGATTCCCCCTCCCTGGGTGCTGGCGCCATGTGGGGGCTCAGCCATCTGGTTTTCCAGATGACCTAATAAATGTATAATCCTTTACCACTTTTGGCCTCGTGCATTCCTCCTTCGGCGATTCTAACATATTGATGATCATCTTGGGAAACAGACACAAAGGGCGTTCTGGAAGTTTCCAGAATCTTCAGTATTTACTATCTTGATTCCCAGTAATAATGATAATTATTGCCATTTCATGGAGCACATTCAGTATGCCTGGCACTAGGGATGTATAATCGAAATAACCATAGCTCGGGGTATAAATATTCCTTCATTTTAATCCCCCATGTACCCTTATTGGCAGAAAATGAAGGGGATACACTATGACACCCCAAAATTTGCCTCTTTGGCATAAGGCTTCTCTTGAGCTGGTTGCTTTTTAAAAAACAGCTTACACAGGAGAAGTTCTGAAAACCAAGTAGAAGTTATTCTTTGTAAGGGACATTTAATTTATAAAGGAAAACTCCATTTGTAAGTTTTCCCCTCATACCAGAGGGGAGGGTTTCTAAATCACAAGAAACTGATCAATACAGACTTAAATCTTCGACTTGACAACCTAACCCTTTTCCTGGGCTTTTCCTGGTAACCTTCCATAACTGACCTCCCCCAACCCAACATCTTTTTGTCTTCAGCTGATATTTGAGTTGGTGGCTTGGACCACTTCCGGGAGTTTCCTAGTTTTTCTGGGCATCCCCCATGCATACAGGAGGGATACGTGTTCTTAAACTTCTGTGGGGATTTTTTCCCTAAATACATTTTTATTGATTTCGGAGAGGAAGAGAGAGAGAGAAACATCAATGATGAGAGAATCATTGCTCGGCTGCCTCCCACGCCGCACACTGGGGGTGGAGCCTGCAACCCAGGCACGTGCCTCCACCAGGAATCCAACCACGAGGACCTCCTGGTTCATAAGTCCACACTCAACCACTGAGTCACGCCAGGTGGGGCCTTGATTTTTTATCTTATTCATCTTTTACTACAGCGATAGAAGTTTCAGCTAAGAACCCAAAAGGGTAGAGATGAAATTCTTTTTCCTCCCTACAAACTCCTCCTCTTGGAGTCCACTCTGTCCCAAATTGTCCCGAATCTCAGAGCTTCCTTAGTCCAGACAGTGTGTTCTCCGGAAGTCTGGGCAGGACTCTTCCGCGGGGTCTCTCCCTCCACACGGGGGCGCTGTGGAGCCCACTCAGTCCTGTAGCTTTGCAGGTGAACCTGCCTGGCAGGGCTGCAGGGAAACATGCTTCCGGCACGAGGGATCCTCTTAGTCACCCTCACCAGCTCAGCCATCCTTCCCCAAAGAGCAGCAGCAGAGAGGGGTGCTCACATCCAGCTGTACAGTCGGCTGGGGAACCCAACAAACATTCAGACTGTTCTTGGGAAGCAACTTTCCAGGCCTTTCCTGACAGTAAATGTTCGTCAGTCCCCAACCTGAATCTGGGGGGCAGGTTGAGGGGAGATGGGTCTCGAGCTCTTTCCTCTCCCAAGGCCCTGGGCTTCGGATCCAAAACGCTCCCCTCCCTCCCCTGCTGCCAGCTCTGCATTCCAAGGGGCCTTGAGAAGGGGTACCTTTGTCAGGCCACAA